TTTTCAGTGAGCGCGATGACCCTCTCATGCATCTCGAGGTTGCGAGGCATCAGGCGAGACGCCTGATCGAACGCGACGATCGCCTCTTTCTTGTTCTCGAGCTGGTTTTGGTAGAGATCGCCGAGGTTCTGCCACAGCACCACAAGCAGGTTGGTGTCCTCGGTGCCCTTCTTCTTGAGCGCTCCGATCAGGTTGATGTAGGCGCCCTTGAGCTCCTCCCATTCCTTGGAGTCGACCAGGATCGAGGTCACGATCTTGAAGGCGTCGAGGCGCGTCGGATCGAGCGAGAGCGCGCGCTTGAACCCGGTGAGCGCCTTCTCGGGCTCCCAGAGTTGATCGCGCGCGATGAGGCTCGCCTTGATCAGCCAATCGGCCTCCTCCTCGGAGTCGTCGGCCATGCGGCTCAAGGTAAAGTAGGAGCGCGACACGCGCCGCCAATCCTCGCTCTCGGTGGCCACCGCGGCGATGCGCTCGACCGCCTGGCGGTTGTGGGGGTCCTCGGCGAGGGCCTGCTCGTAGGTGTCGAGGCCGCGCGCAGGATCGTTGAAGTGCTCGACCCAGTCATCGCCCAGCGCGACCATCGCGGCAGAGCGCGCCGAGGGTTCATTCAGGCTGCGGATCAAGCGCTGACGCACCTTGATGATCTCTTGTGAGTCACCGGCGTCGGCGACGACGCGCAGCAAGCCGTTGAGCGCGTGCGGATCTTGAGAGCTCTGCTCGAGCGCCTTCTCGTAAGAGGCGCGCGCCTTGTCAGGGCGCTCGAGTTGTTCGTAGCAGCCGCCCATGTGGCGATACACCGTGACCAGATCCTCGAGCCCGAGCTTTCGCTTGTGATAGAGCAGGAGTGATTGAAAGACACGCAGCGCCTCCTCGACCTTGGCTTGCTCGAAGAGCAACCTCGAGAAGGGACGCAGCAGCGAGAGCTCGCGCGGATCAAAGGAGTACGCCGAACGGTAGCTCTCGATGGCGCTCTCGGTGTCGCCGTTCTCGCGATGCAAATCACCGAGCAGACGATAGAGCCAGACGTTGTCATCGATGTGGCGCGTGTTGTCCGGGAAGCGAGAGAACTGCTCGAGCAGTTGGCGCGCTTCGCTCGACTCGTCGCGCTCGATGATCGCCTCGACCTGAGGACGAACCTTGGTGAAGTCGAGCAAGGCGGCCTCGTCGACCTCCTCGTAGGCGTCCATATCGGTCTCGACATCGTCCATGTCGAGCTCCTCGCCGCCCTCGTCCTCATCCTCCGCTGCGTCGGCGCTGACCTCTTCGAGGTCAGCGTCACCCTCTTCGGGCAAGGCGGCATCGGCTTCCTCGGCAGCGTCCTCGTCATCCGATGGTTCGGATGGCGCGTCCTCCTCGGCAAGCTCCTCGACCCCGTTCTCATCATCCTCTGGAGCGTGAGACGCTTCTTCGGCAGGAGAAGGATCTTCCGCGTCTCCTTCTCCCTCATCGCTCGGGGGATGCTGCTCTTCCTCTTCGACGTCAGCGTTGGCAGTGACCTCCTCCTGCTCCTCAGGGGTAGCGTCCTGCTCCTCTCGCGGCTCGAGATTTTCGTCTTGCTCCGTCATCGGCGATCCTCGATCAAGAACCCATCAAATTCATCCCCACGACCGCGGGCCTGTCATCCAGCGCCCGCACCATTGGCAAGGGGTGCCACCACCACTATCAGCGGGCACCGCCGTGAGGGTCATCACGTCACGTTGGCTGCATCTTATACTGAGTCGCGCGTTCACAACAGTGCGAGTTTCTCGCCACGTCGCATCATCTGTTGCGGTTGAAAATAATCCGCGCGTTGTTGCCGTCGACGATGTTCACGGTGCGACGATCCGAGGTCGTGCCATCGGAGTAACGCGCCTGAATGGTCTGCCTGCCGATCGGCAAACGCGCCTCACGCGTTCTGTTGTTGATGGAGACCTCGCGATTGTTCACGAGGAGCGTACCTGCAGGGATGATCGCGACCGCCACGTTGGCATAGGATGGCTTCTTATGCCCCTTGAGCTTGATCGTCTTGCTGTCGCCTGACGCGAGCGTGACCGTGTCGCTGTCGAGCGGCTCACCCTTGTGAACCACCGTAAACGTGTACTTGCCAGGCTCTAGCTCCACCGCGCGCCCCTCCTTCACCTTACCCTCCTTGCCATCGAGCATGATCTCGCCATCCCCGGAGACTTTGACAATCACCTTGGCGGGCGTGATCTCTTCAGGCTTTGGCGGGCTCGGTTCGGGCGCGCTGGCAATGTAGCCAGACAGGCTGACCTCGAGCGCCTCCCCTGGCTTGATCTCGACGTTCCTGGTGTCGCGCACCCTGTCCTTATGGCGAACCTCGAGGACATGCGATCCTGCCTCGAGTGATAACTCACCACCTTCGGGGATGGTCACTTCGCGAGAATCGACAAAGAGCTTACCAGCCCCCTCTATGCTCACCTTGGCGCTGCCCAGCGCAGGGGTCGTGTCGATAGCTTCGGCTGGTGTGGTGGTCGTATTCTCCGAGGTCTTTACGGAGGTCTCCGCGACGGTCTCCGACGTCTGGCCCTCCTGGAGCGTCGCGACGGTGTTGTTTGGTGTCTCCTGCACATCGTTCTTTTCGCCACGCGTGCTCATGATGATGGCGAACACAGCAACCAACAGCGCCACAGAGAGGAACAACCCTACCAACAGGAGCGGGAGGCGACTCTTCTCCTCCCCTTCTTCCCGTGGGCTCTGCTGCTCGAGGGTATGATCGCCTGCGCGCGCCGATTCGGATGGGCCAGCAGGTTCAGGTATGGACGCCGTGCGACTGCTCGGCGTCTCCTCGGAGGGAGTCTCGGGCTCTGGTGCTGGCGCTGGCGCTGGCTCCGGATCTGGCGGGAGCGTCGGCGCCTGGATGGTCAAATCTGTGCGGAACGCGGGCTGATCGCGAGACGCGAGCGAAGGGGCAGGCGCAGGCGTGTTGGCCGCGACCGTGGACCCTTCCTCGGAGACCTTGCCAGACGTGCCGAGCGAGCCCGAGAGGTCGATGCCCTGGCCGAGCGGGGTCGGCCCCGAATCACGCGAGTGACGACGCTCGGGTTGGCGCTGCTCGGATGTCGGCGCGAACGCCTCGCCGCTCATTTTTTTGACGAGCGGCTCTCCAGTCATCGGATCGAAGGCCATCGGACCTGTCGCCGCGACCACGGGAGCATCCACCGTGGGCTCGATCGCGCTCCGCTCTATCGAACTCGAGGACGAGGACGAGGATGCATCGGGCACCTTCATCTGCGAGATGTCGATGGGGACGGTCGCGAGCCCTCGGAGGGACGCGCGCAAGGCGCTCGAGAAGTCCGTGATGCGAGGATAACGATCCTCGATATCCTTGCTCAAGGCGCGTTGCAGGACTTGCTCGAAGGAGTCGTTCACCTGGAGCGTCGCGTCGAACTCGCGCAGCGGCTTTGGCATCTCGGTGAGCTGCTGCACTGCCACGTCCACAGGGGTGTTGCCCTGGAGCGGCGTGTGGCCAAGAAGCATCTTGTATATGCAGTTGGCCAGCGCGTACTGATCGGTGCGGCCATCGACCCCCTGCCCACGGATTTGCTCGGGCGCCATGTAGTGCGGCGTGCCGATCATCACGCCCGTCTGCGTAACCTTGTCGAGCGGCGTGAGCGTGGCCTCCTGGAGCAACTTGGCGATGCCAAAGTCGATGACCTTGACAAAGTAAGGGTCCTTTCCGCGAGGCATCACCATCGCGTTATGCGGCTTGATATCGCGGTGCACGATCCCGTTGTCGTGCGCGTCCTGTAAGCTCGCGGCCATCTGCTCGACGACGTGCAAGACGACATCGAGCGGCAGCTTCTCCTCTTGCTTGATGAGATCGTTGAGGCTGACACCCTCCAGGTACTCCATGGCGATAAAGAGGAGGTTGCGATCCTCGTCCTCGCCGAAGTCGTAGATGATGACGCTGTTGCCTTGTTGAAGCTTGGATGTGGCGATCGCCTCGGCGCGAAAGCGCTCGCTCGCCATGGTGTCCCCGAGCAGGCGCTCGTGTAGGACCTTGACCGCACAACGGCGCCTCATCGAAAGCTGCGTAGCCTCGAATACAGCCCCATAACCTCCCTGCCCCAGCAGCGAGTCCAACTTGAAGCGGTGAGCGAGTACCTCGCCGACCATTGCCTCAAGATCCACGTGCGTTCTCCCCTGAAATCATAGACGCGACGCAAACCCTATTTTTCATTCATAGAAGGGTTCGCCAGATGGAACACAGCAGAGACCCTCTCTGCCTGTTCGTGTCAGTGTTTCTCTTCTATCACGAAAGTCCACCGCGCAAAAGTCGTCAATCCGACGCCGATGGCCCGTGATCATCGTCTCCCGCGAACGCCACGCGCAACGCCCATCGGCCGATCGGGAGATCGGCCGGGAGCTCGAGCTCGGCGCGAAAGTTCCCGCCAAGGCTTGTCTCGGTCACGCCGAGCTCTCTCCCGACGACCCCACGCGCCGTCGGTGAGACAAGCAGAACGCGCACCTTCGCCTTTCGGATCGGGGTGCCATCGATATCGGTCAGCGCTCCCGCGATCTGGAAAGACTCTCCGCGCCGAAGATCCTCCGGCGAGACGCTCTTGATGATCAGCGACGTGCGCTTTCGGTTATCCTCGGGGGGTTGGAAGTTCTCCAGAATATCATCGCTGTTGTTCTCGGTGACGTTATCGCCAACCTCCTCCTTGCTCTGAGGACCATCGCCGACGTCGAAGCCGCCGTTATCACCGTTGCCCCCATTATCACCCGCGGCGCCATCACCCACGTTGTTGTTGCGCTGGCGCTCCTGCTCGGCGAGTCGATCGAGCTCCTGTTGGTAGGACGGCGGGTTGGGCAAGGTGTCGTTGGCGGCGCCGTCATGCACGCGGCGCTGCTCGTCCGATGCACGCATCAAAACGTCCTGCGCCGCGCCCCCGAGATCCACGCGCCTCCACCCGAGCCCCGGCCACAGGATCTCCACGAAGGCGTGCGCCTCGTTGTAGACATAGCGGCTCGGGATCCCCAGCGCGGTGGCGGTGATCACGAAGGCGAAGCTTCGGTGGCGGCAAACCCCGACCTTGCTCGTGGCGATCGAGTAATAGATATCCTCGCCGCGCATCTCCTGGGGAAAGGGCTTCCCTTCAAAGTCACGGAAGTGTTCGATGAGGCGCATGAGCGCATCTTTCGGGTTGATCGACGCTCGCGAGACGCCGATCTCTCGCATCACATCCTCGGCCACGGGGTAGAGCGCGCGAGGAAGCTTTGGCAGCGCGCTCCTGTCAAAGCTCGACCACGCGACCCACCCGAACTCACCATCGAAGTAGCGCCTGGGCGCGGCGATCTTCATGTTCACGCGCACGAGATCCGAGCGCTCGGAGGTCAGGTAGAAGTTGTCCGCGCCGTCGCGCTCGATCACGACCGAGGTCGCCGGTTCGGTGTGCACCTCGAGGACGCGCTGGTCTGGCGCGACGCTCGGGATCGGCGTGCGATTCCCAGGGCTCGACTTGATGAGGAAGGTCCCCCAGAAGACATCCTCATCCTTGCTCGCCTCGCGCCCTCCAGCCCCGATGCCGACGCGCTGGAAGCGCCCCGTGTCCACGACAAACGCGTAATCCGCGCCCGACATACGGACCTCGTTCTGCGCGACGCCTCGCTTGTAGGGGATGACGCTCGGATCAAAGCTCGAGAAGTAGTTGAGCTCGTCGACGCGATCGGTGTTGTCATCGAGTTTGTTCGCCGCGGTGCCAGGATCGAGGCCACCCTGCGGGTTGGTCATGGGGAGCGAGGACATCGGCCCTTTTTGCCCCATGACGGGCTCGTCCTGACGGACATCGAGCGTCAGGGGAGGCGCCTCGCCAGGCTCCCTCGCCTTGATGCGCGGGGGCTCTGCGCCCGCGCCGCTCGCGCTCTTCTCGCGCAGACCGCTCAGATCACCGGGGAGGTTGAAGTACTCGTGCAAGACCTGCTCTTGCTGCGCGTATGCGAGCGTCCCGCTCACACACATCAATACGAGCGATACGACACCGATGGCTTTCTGTCTGGACATCCTCTCTCCAGGACACGGGCTCGAACACAAGGACAACGCATGCCGGACCGTTCGGGCGCTCGACACACGATGCGCTCGGAGGCTAACACGGACATCTTATGGAAGACACCCAGGGCGTATGGATTGTTCCCTGTCATCAGGGCTTACACGTGCCCGGATACATGCGGTAGCCCACGGTGGCCGAGGAAGATGCCGACGGCGCCGCGTCGAGCACGTCCTCCTCTCGCACGAACGCTCGCGTCTTCTTTTCCCACGGCGTCCCGATGGTGACCTCGAGCCAACCCTCAGGGTGATCTGCGTCAGGGGTAACGAGGAGCATGACCCAGCTGTTGCGGACCTGCGCCAGACGCGCCTCGGGCTCGGGCGCGCCATAAACCCAATCGCGCTGGAGGAGATAGATCTTCCTCGAGGTCGCCCCGCTTCCACCCCCGCGGCCATACCCACCCATACCTCTGCCACCGATCCCGAGCCCACCGTCAGGCGGCGGAGGCACGAGTTCTGCGTCGATGTAGCCGTGGAAAGCGGTTTGCGCCGTCGGCAAATCACTCGTCTCGAGATCGTAGGAAAAGAGCACGATCTCGGCGCGTTCGCCATCACCAGCGAGCAAGAAGTATCCCATCGGCGCGAGGTTCGAGAGGATGACGCGACCTCTGGAGTCATACAGATCCACGCGCGCGTCAGTGTGATGCTCGACGTACTCGGCCTCTTCGGGGAGGAAGTCATGCGCCGACTTCTCGCTCCCCTTCTGCACATAAGAGGACTGGCCGATGTAGCCCGCCTGGATCCAACCTCGCATGTCGCACTTTGGAGGATTCAAACAGACCTTCGTCAACCCCTCGCGATCGCCGGGCTCGGCGGTGACCGTTCCGCCTTGCTCGAGATAGGCGAAGGGGACGTAGCGATCATCATAGAGCAGCGCGTCTGCGCGCAGCCTGTTCGAGGGCACCGCGTCGCGCGAGATGGTCGGGAAGAAGTAAAAGCGATGCCCTTCGACCAGAAATGTGAGCGTCTCGGGCGTCGCAGCGATGATGCGCCTGTCCTTGATCGGGCAGCTCTCGACCGTTTGACCGCCCGCCCAGAGCTCGAGCTTCGCGCCACGGGGAACATCAGCGACGTGAACCCCGATGTCCTCGCGCAAGCGCTCCTCCTCGCTCATCGCGAAAGTCGCGGGCAACGCGCGCGGCGTGAAGACAGGCCAGAAAGGATGCGGCTCGAGGCGCTCGATGGCGCTCTTCTCGGGCAACGGTTCATTATTGGTGAGCGAGGTCTTATCAGGCGCCTTCGAGGCCTTGCTCGAAGAACACGCACAACACGCGAGCGCCATCACACACACGCACACCATAGCCGCATCGATTCTGCTGTTCATACACGCAACCTCTCGTTGCCAATCAGAGTCATTCTTCATCGCCGGGACAGGGGACAAAGCTCAGGCGCGGGTCCCAGGATGACGCTTTCTCATTCGGAGGGAGCTTATCGAGAGTTCCCGAGAATTGCACATACGCCTCCATCACTCCCCAGGGCGTATCGATCCAGGCCGCCAGCCAACCGAATGGCACGTTCGACGCCTTTCGTTGCCAGAGCTTGGCCCACCTGGCGCGCACCTGCGCGAAGCGCGTCTTCTCGTCCGGCGCGCCATACACCCACGCGCCTCGCGGGATGTAGTAGTAAACCGTCGGCATGTGCGTGATATGGCGACCGTATCCGCCAAGCCCTCCTTCACCATACCCTCCGAAAGCATCGGGGTCCTGCTCGGGGACGAGTTTGGCGTCGATAAAGCCATGCAGGTACACCATCTTGACCTCGGACTCCCTGTCCAGGTCATAAGGAACCACGATCTCGGCGAGCTCTTCCCCCTTGTGAATCAGGCGATACTCCCAGGGAACGAACGGCGCGAGGATCTGGCGCCCGTGGATATCGCGCAGCTCGATCTCTGCGTCGGTATGATTCGAGATCCGCTCGGAATCCAGCGGGAACGGCTTTAGATCAACAGCACCCTTCTCTCGCTCTCTGGTGAGGACCTGGCCCAGCCGCTTCGCGCGCACGTTCCCGGTGAACGAGCACGAGGGAGGATCGAGGCAGACGTGCGCGAGATCCTCATCCTGGCTTAGCAGCAAGACCCGAGTCCCTCTGGGTAAGAGCGCATATGGCGTCGCGGTTGCCTCGGAGTACACGATCGTATCCTCGAGCGCGCGCAGTTGTTCTGGGCGCGTCCAGGGAGCAATGGGATAATAGACATAGGTCGAACCCTCGATCACATAGCGCACCTCCTTGCGATCCCAGGCGAACAACGACTGATCATCGTAAAGACAGCTCTCGACGGGGTCTGCTCCAGGCCAGAGCGTCAGCGGCGTCCCCATCGGGACATCCGCCATCCAGCGCCGAGGTGGCCTGACATCGTATGGAGGCAGGGAGCGCGGGTCCTCGAAGCTCGAAGGGAGCTTCTCGAACTCGGGCTCGACCCAAAACTTATGCGCGGGGAGTTTGCTCGCCGGGGTGATGAGATCGCTCGCGGGGATGAGCGGCGCGCGCTCCGAGAGCGTCTTCTCGGAGCGCGAAGCCTTGCACGCGCCAACGAAACAGACGCATACGAGCGCAGCGATCATGAGCCCTGCGCGCAGCATGTGTTGGCGAGGTTGCCTCATCAGGGCACTGCGGGAATGCCTGTCGCGGTGAGCAAGCCCTTGAGATCCTCGTCCGTGAAGATGAACCCGAGGCTGAGGAAGGGAGAGAACCCGGTGAAGTTCTGCTCGAGCGTTTGCTGGTTGGCGCCAAAGGCGGGCGGCTCGTTGAAGATATCATCGAGGCCAGCCATCACGCGGAAGTGATCGGCGAAGTGATAATCACCCCAGACGCGCACGCGAGGGTTGTAGACGCCTTCGATGTCGAAGTCGAAGAGATCGACGTGCACGCGCAGCCTGCGACCGCGGCTAAATGGTTTATCGAGCGTGCCGCCGATGCCGCCGGTGGACTCGATCAGGCCAAAGCGACCGAACAGGATCCAGTCATCCAGGAAGTTCCACCCGAGCGCGTACTGCAAGCTAAAGCGGATATCATCCTTGGTGGTCCTCACGATCTGACGCTGCTGCTCGTTACCGTTGGCGTCGATGACCGCCTCTGTGGTGTAGCTCGAATCGAAGCGGAAATCATCGACGACCTCGAGCAAGTAATACTTGTTGCGCTTTGGCTGGAGGCGCAGGCCGATGACGTTTTTGAAGCGACCGTGGATCGGGTGATACTCGAAGCGAAGCTCCATGATGGTCTGGAGGCGCCCGATGCTGCCGGTGATTTCCTGCGCATCGCCCAGGATCGCGTCCGTCTTCTCTGCGATCGCCGGATCGTTGACGAGCGCGCCGACGGTGCCCTCGCCCTCGTTGATCTTGTCGGTGATATCCTGGATGTTTTGCAGCGAGTAGTTGAGCGAATCGAGCGTCGACTGCAATCGGATCAAGGTCCCCGAGAGCGAGCCTAACCCCGCCTGAACATCGCCCGAGGATTGGCCGACGATATCGCGCACGTTGCGCGTGATCGCCTTGGCGTCGCGGACGACGACCTTGGTCTCGAAGAGGATCTCTTCGAAGGATTGGTTGGTGTTGACGGCGAGCTCGCGAACATTGGACGAGATCGCCTTGCCGTCGACGAGGATCTTGTCGAGTTGGTCGGTGCCCGTGACCACGAAGTCCGCGATCTCGCGCAGCGTGGTTTGCAGATCGCGAAGGATCTGCTCCAGGCCTTTCTGACCATCCTCGCCGCCGAGCACATTGGCGAGCGAGTTGGTGACCTCTTCGATATCTTTCGTGATGCGATCGAGCGTGGCGAACACTTCCTCGAGGTTGGTGCCGCCGTTGACGTTATAGATGCGGCCCTGATCGGGGATCGAGTCCCCTTCAGTCCCAGGCGTGACCTCGAGGAAGTAATCCCCGATGACGCTGGCAGACTTTCTGGCCACGGTGGCGCCGTTCTTCCAGACGCCCCCCTCTTCTGCTGGCGGGACGCCCTGCTTGAGCGCGAGGTCGCGGTTGACCTTCATCTCGATGCGCGCCTTGGTGCCCTGTCGCTCGATGCTCTCGATCTCGCCGACGACGATACCTGCGGTGCGAATACGAGAGCGCACGGCGAGCCCTGTGGCGTCGTCGAACAGCGCGTAGACCTTGATATACTCGGTCGCGCCGTCGCCGCCGCCATCGTAGGTCAGGCGAGTGAGCATGAAGATCGTCGCGGCGATGCCGACGATGACCAACAGGCCGACCTTAAACGGTGTGAAGAAATCCTTGGAGTTCATGGGTCTTTATCTCGCGCTCGAGTCTGGTGGCCGTTTGCCGCAGCGGGCAAGCATCCATCAGTTGGTGCTGTACATGAAAACAGTCAGGACATAGTCGATAAACAACACGGCGATGGAGCTGGTGACCACGCTCGAGGTGGTCGCCTCTCCGACGCCCTTTGCGCCGCCAGAAGCGTAGAAGCCCTTGTAGCAACCGACCAGGCCGATCGCCACGCCGAAGCAGGCCGCCTTGATGCCGGAGTAGAACACGTCCTTGACGACGACGAAGTCGCGGATCTTCTGCACGAAGATGCCCGGGTCGATGTTCATGACCGCCACCGAGAGGACGTAGGAGCCGCCGATCGCCACGAAGTTAAAGAGCATGACGAGGATGGGCATCATCAACGTCGTCGCCAGAACTCGAGGCATCACGAGGTATTGCACGGGGTTGACGGCCATGACCGCCATGGCGTCGATCTGTTCGGTGACGCGCATCGTGCCGAGCTCGGTGGTCATCGAGCTGCCGGTGCGACCAGCGACCATCAACCCCGTGAGCACGGGGCCGAGCTCGCGCACCACCGACGCGGCGACCGTCCCGCCAACGAGCGTCTCGGCGCCGAACAGCCCGAAGGCATAGATCGACTGATAGGCCATCACCAGGCCGGTGAAGAGCCCCGTGAACAGCACGATAAAGAGGCTCCCCACGCCGACCGATTCGAGGGCCTGGAGGAAGATCTTAAAC